GAAGATCAGCTTCAAAAACCAATTGCTAAGCGATGTACACGGGCCACGAAGAGCATTAAAACCAACAGGATTCGCCAAGAGTCACCGAGCCCCTGGAGAAAATGGGCTCTGTACGTGGGACCACGCTTTTAGGAAGCTCAGCCCATTCCGTGTAAGTGGGGCTTTCGGGCTGAGCCTGTCTTTGCCCAGGGTGGGGGCCGGCGGCTGGCAGGACTAGGGATTGAAAACCCCCAGAACTTCTCTCTTAGAAACAAATGCTTTTGTCCTGTGCGTGGCAGGCTAACCTCATGGCACAATTAATTGTCCTGTGCCCAGCAGTGACCCACTTTTCACCTTTGCAGCCAGTGCTCACTGTTCGTGTGCCCCAAGCAATAATCTGAGATGCTCAATGCCACTAACGTGATAGGCACTTAATAAAAATATTTATTCCCTAGGGCGGTATTTAAAAATATATATATATACACCAGACTTTACATACCCAGCCTATGGTTAATTGGACAGTTCATCCTGTTATGTTCACACTCTCTACCCTTAATGACTGTTAGCTGCTGAAACATTCCAGGACCTCTGTCCTGGTGCACACATGTACTTATTTCTGGTAGGGATGCAGCAGTACTGAAGCTGCTGAGTTACAGGACTGGCATCCACTTAGCTTTCGTACATACTGTGAAGGAGGTTTCCAAGTGGTCGTACTAGTTTACCCTCTTCCCAGTGATGGATGGAGCTCCGATGGCTCCACGTCCTCATTAATATCGGCTATCATCGGTTTTTAATTTTAGAGTCTGGTGAATATATAGTAGTATTGACTTGTGGTTTAAATTGGAATTTCTATTATCTATATCTGTTTTTATGGCTTTCTAGCTGAATTCTCCCAAAGTCAAATAACATTTTTGTGTGATTTCAAGCATTAAAAATTTGTTGATGCATGTATGGCCCAGTATATGATCTATTTGGGTAAATGTTCCATGTGTATGTGATAAGAATGTACATTCCCCACTCGTGGGTACATGTTCTATTAATGCAATTAGGTTACCACTGTTTGTCGTTCTGTTTAAACTTCCTATATTCTTGTGGTGCCTGGGTGACTCAGTTGGTTAAGAGGCCGACTTCAGCTCAGGTCATGATCTCACAGTTTGTGAGTTCGAGCCCCACATCGGACTCTGTGCTGACAGCTCAGAGCCTGGAGCCTGCTTGGGATTCTGTGTCTCCCTCTCTCTGGCCCTCCCCTGATTGCTCGCTCTCTCTCTCTCCCTCTCTCTCAAAAATAGACATTTTTAAAAAGTTAAAAAAACTTCCTATATTCTTTTTCTTTTTCTTTAATATTTATTTATTTTTGAGAGAGACAGAGAGAGGGAACACATGAGCAGGGGAGGGGCAGAGAGAGAGGGAGACACAGAATCCCAAGCAGTCTCCTCGCTGTCAGCGCAGAGTCCCACATGGGGCTTGATCCCATGAACCATGAGATCGTGACCTCAGCTGAAATCAAGAGTCAGCCGCTTAACTGACTGAGCCACCCAGGCGCCCCCAAACTTCCTATATTTTAATGTTTATGGGGGGGTGCTCATACTATCAGTTGCTGAGATTGTTTTTTTAAAAATTTTTACATTTGACTAAGATTGTAGATTTTATTTTTTTCTTTAGTTGTGTTAATTTTTGGCTTTATATACGTTAAGGCTACATTATTAGACCATCTAAATCTTACATGATTATATCTTCCCTGTGAACCACACCTTGGGTCATTGTGAAACATCCTTCTTCGTGTCTGGTCACGCCTACCTTAGTCTTCCCCATCTGATCTCAGTAACTAGCCTTGGTTAGTGTTTGTGACTGTGGCAGTCTGTATTTTCCAAAGATGGTCACAGTGTTTCCCATCCGGCTTGTTTTCTTTACTCCTATAGCAGTAGAAGAGTCCACAGTGGCTCCTTCTGAATCCCTGTGGTCCTTTATTTGATTTCCAAGGCTAGATCATGAAAATCAGCGCACTTCTGTCTGGTTCACTTGGATGGTAACCCTTGGAATTCAGCGACCAGGCTATGAGGAGCCCCAAGGGGCCCACACGCAGAGACCATATGACCAGACCACGTCAGCTACTCTAGCAGCAGCCCCAGATGAAGTGTCACACGTGTGAAGATACCATGAAGATCAGCCCTCAGCTGCTGGGTCTTCCTCAGCCTCAAGTCCTCGTGGGCCTTTCCAGAGGCCCTAGACATCTCGGAGTGAAGAGAAGCCACCCCACTGCTTCCTAGCCACCTAGTCCAGCTTCCTGATTGTGAACATGAAAAACAGTTGTTTTATGACACCAAGTTTAAGGTGTGAGCCACTGTAACCGGAGCAGTGTAGCGTAAGTGTCCTATCCTTTGTAAACCTTTGCCCGGCCCTATTTTTTTAAAGTGGGTCTCTCGTAAACAGTATGCAGTCTTTTTCAAAAACGGAGTCTGATAATATTTGCTTTTACTTGGAGTGTTTCGTTTTTATTATGTTTAACAATGATTCCTACCCTTGGGTTTAAATCTACAATCCTACTATTTTCTTATTATTCGTCGTACTTTCTCTATATTCTTTTCTCCTCTTTCTTGCCTTCTTTCGGATTGATTCTACTTTAGTTTTGCCTCCTCCCCTCATTAGCTCGTCAGTTATAAATTCTGTTGTAAAACTTTTGACAATCCCACTGCAAATGGCCACATGCACCCTGGACTACCCACTCACGTTTAAAGTTCCAGACACCCTCTCGAGATAAAAGTCTAAAGTGTAGAGTGAAGTATGCGGACAAGGAGGCAGAGGGAGAAATCAAGCTTGAGAATTATACCTAAGAAAGGACTTTGTGTGTGGTTTCTGACACGCGAGGTTGTCCGGTCTACATCCATCAGAAGCGTATTGAGTTTTTGAAGGGATCGTATTTTCAAAGGAACCTTGAGCCCTGAAAAGCCTTTGGCTGTTTTCAGCCTTAAATAGCCCTTGGGCCCCCAAATTTCCCTAAGTAGGACACAGTCTGCCAAAGCTACAGCCTTCAAGGAAAACACACTCTCCTACCGCAGTTCAGATGCGGCTCAATTTCAGACAAGGAAAAAGGCCCAAAGGGTGGAGCTAGAAGCCACAGAGAACAGCAGACGAGGGAAGGCGCCCTGAGAGCCCAGTCAAGGTCAAATCCGGGAGACCCTCCTGCTTCTCGGGCAGACACCCCCATTACTGATCTGGATTGATGACTCAATCTCCTGCTCTTCCTTTTAGCAAATGGGGGCTTGTCCTCCGTCCCCGTGGCCAGGCTGTGACGTGCTGCACCCAGACCTGGGGAGAGGACACGGACCCTCCGGAGAACCTCGCTTTTGTTTTCTTTCAAGTTTTTATTTAAATTCTAGTTGTTACCATATGGTCAGAGAACCTAGCCTTTGAACTGTAGGCAGCGGTTGGCAAACCGCTTTCGGGGTTATCTCCCCTGGGGTCTGACGAGTGGGGAGAAAGGTGAATATTAACTGGATACTGTGGCCGAGACTGCTACCTATGAACAAGCCATTTCCTCTTTTTTTGGCACTCATGGACTCTTACAAGAAAGCGTGGCTTTCCCATCCCCTCTTACAAGAAAGCGTGGCTTTGCTGAGTTCCAGCCGATGCAAGATGAGCGGACGAGAAACGGCCATTCAGAGGCCTGGCCCATAAAAACGTCCTGAGAGATTCTTCATTCTCTCCCCACTTGGTCTCGATGCTGATGAGCGCAGTGACTTAAGATTAAGGGAAGATGTACAGGACAGAGGGAGCCTCAGGTGCTGAATCACCGCGCAGGTCCCTGTTTGGGAATTTATTTGAGTGGGAAAGAAATACGCATTTGCTAAAGCAAGTCCAGCACGGCCCTGACCACTGCACAAAGCCGGTCGCCACCTCCCTCAGTCCCACGCAAACCTCTCTGCCTTGTCTTGTCCGGTAGTTTAGTGAGGGGAGGATGTATTTTACAAACTCCGTCCTGATAGTTTTTCTATGTGGGAACATAATGCTGAATTTCAGAGGAGAAGTCCCAGCTCCGTGTGGACAAAGGGCCCTGGCGCACGAGTGCTAACACCTGCCCTTGATCCCATCTCGCTCCAGTGGGGAAGCCTTTAAACCCTGGGAAGCAGGAGCCAAGACGCCAGGAGAGCTGAAGAAAAGTGGAGTCGGGCAGAATCAAAGACGTGTTGAGGTGAGGTTACCTTGAGGTAACCTACTTGGGTCTTTTCTTCCTTTTTTAAAGATAAGGAGACTCAGGCTCAAGAATTAAAGGGAGTCGTCACATAAATTTGGTGACAGAGCTAAGACTAGCAGTCGGGTCTCCTACTATTATCTATGGCAGAAGAAAAGAGATCGGCACACACTATCGCTGCAGCCGGCGATTAAACACTTGTTTGATGTCTCACGGTTTTCCTTAAGATTTCATGCAAATTCTCCAATCTATATCATAATACATGCTCAATAATTTTACATAAAAGCAAGTTTTTAATTACTTGTCATAAAATAGAGAGGATCTCCACGAAGACGCACCACACTTATCTACCCCTGGGCACACGCCACTTACCTTCAGGCAAGCACATGTCCCAGGGTGAAACGCAACGCTGGGCCGCAGATGCAAAATTATCTTCCCACGAGGGCCCGGGCCTGGGCCTGCCGCCCGCCTGGCCTCCTGGCCTCCCGCTCGGGTCCAGCACCCACATCCAGCCTCCGCCGTACCGAGTCCAGCATTCCCCTCCAGCTGGGCCCATCGGACTCGAACTCGTCCTTCGAGGCTCAGGTCCCGCATCATCTCCTCTAGGAAGCCTCAGTGACCTGTCCAAGTCTCCTTGCCCACCCCCCCCCCCAACCCCCCGCCACGCACCCGGCCTGAGACATACTAATTCCAGCACTTGCCACGCCACGGTACAGTGCAGTCTGCACGTTTGCCTCCTCCAGAAAGTACGACACAGAAAAAGTACTCAGTAACGGTTGTTAAATGAGTGAACCGGGCCCACCGGTAGGGAGCACGGGCGGTGCACACTTACTGGCTGGGGGAGGGGCTCCGGAGGTACTGGGCCTGCACGGCCCTCACACTGGCTTCATCCTCTTCACTTGGGACGACCTGCTCCTCCTCTGGGTCCCCGCCGGTCGCCATGACAGCCTGCCAGCCCCTGCAGGTTTGCCACGAGAACCGTGGTGAGGGAATCTGCTTCTGGAGGTTTCGTGGGGTGAAGGGGTATATCGGCGACGTCAGGGGGAGGTCCCCACACGCCAGTCCCGGGCAGGAAGAGGACCCATGGGGGAAACCCAGCCTGACTTGGCCTGGCCGCACTCAGCAGGGCACCGAGTTGCACGCCCAGCTGTGTAAACCGTCCACCTGGGGGTCGCCGTATTTAAGAGGTGACCACTTGGCCCCTCCCTCGACCCCGGCAGAGAGGAGAACCGGCACTGCACCGACTAAGCTGAAGCAGTTGGAAAGCAGGGAATTCCTCAGGCCAGGAGGGTCTTTCTGTTGGAACTTCTGGGTGTGCCCTCACATACACACAGGCACGTGAGCGCACGCGCACACACACACGCGTGAGTACGTACAGGAAAGCACACACCCCACTTGTGCACATGCTTACGCCTTCGCCTCTAAGGGGGGGCGGAGGTGCAGCCGGCCCTCTTCAGTGTCTCTAACCAAGGTCACAGGGGTCATTGCCTTTGGCTCAGGCACCACCTTGATTAAGGAACATGAAATCCCTCAGGAGCTGGTCCCACGCATGGCGGGGCCTTGCCACTCAAGGCAGAGCTGCTGCCCCTCCGCTTCTAAGTCTTGGGCTCACAGGACAAAATGAAGGGAGAGGCACACTCACCGCTGCTTTGCCAAGATCGCCACACCGAAGGGCAGTCACCCAGGGGCTGAGGGGCCCAGACAAAATGGCCGAAAGCTCCGATCAGTGAGAGGGACCAACCTCTCCTCTCCTCAGTGCTGCTTCACTGAGGGACAGGACAGCTGTTTACAGGAAATCTTAGCTACCTTCTAAATTTAGCCTCTGGCCCCATAGCCTGGCAGGCCTCCTGGAGGAAGGAATGCAGTCTCAGGACCCAGACCCAAAGCTGGCCCCATTTAACTCTTTCCCTCCTGGCTGATTCTCTGGACACTGGATACTGACATTGAGCAGCAAAGTTAGGAGAAGGTCACAGAAGATGGAGATGGCCAGAAGAAAAGCTTTCCTTTGGGCTCTCTCTCTCTCTCTCTCTCTCTCTCTCTGTCTCCATACCTTCTTGCCTGGGGCTACCTATTCAAAGTCTTTCTGGAAGAGGATCTAATGCCAAAAATCTAGAAGAATGAAACAAACTGTAGCTAAGCCCCATGTCAGTCTAGAGGATGCTGGGAAAAAATACTCAATATATAGAATGGGGAGGGGGCTCTGATGGGTGTTGGGAGAGGACCATGGTGCAACTAAAGGGTATGGTCAACGGCTTGTGGCCAGGGTTACATTTCTTTGAACAGCGATGACTCTGAGTAGTAAACTGGCAGCTGTGCTCACCCTCCACAATCCCTTCCCGACACTCACATTCGTGGTGATGGTCAAGTGGCAAGCCCGGGTGGTATAAAAATTCTATGAGCTTCGGGGCACCTAGGTGGCTCAACTGGTTGAGCGTCCAAATTCAGCTCAGGTCATGATCTCATGGTTCGGCTCTGCGAGTTCAAATTCTACATCAGGGCTCGCGGCTTCTGATCCTCTGTCCCCTCTCTCGTCGATCCTCCCCCCTGCTCCCAGTCTTTCAAAAATAAAGAAACATTTTATTTTATTTTTCTTTTTTTTTAAATGTTTTATTTATTTCTAGGAGAGAGAGAGAGAAGGGGGAGACAGCATGAGCAGGGGAGGGTCAGAGAAAGAGGGAGTCACAGACTGAAACAGGCTCCAGGCTCTGAGCTGGCAGTCAGCACAGAGCCCGACGTGGGGCTCGAACCCACGAACCGTGAGATCATGACCTAAGCGAAAGTCGGACGCTTAACCGACTAAGCCACCCAGGCGCCCCAATAAAGAAACATTTTAAAAAATTCCACAAGCTTCATAAACTTCAAATGAGCTCATAGTCCACCCTACTCTACTTTGTCGCTGCCCACCACCACCATGACCAAAGCAAAGCCCAAAAACCCAATAGTTCAGCCCCTCATCTCACACATTCTACAATTACACCTTCATCCACCTATCCATCATCCCATCCTATTCGTCTGCCCATTCACAATGATTATCTGCTATGTGTCACATAATTACATGCTCAAAATGGTCCTTCTTCTTGGCTGAGTGGAACAATGCCCCCCACACAGTATCATCAAAAATTGGCTGAATGAATGAATGAGCTCACACTTTATTAGGAGGAGTGAGACACAGATCAAAAATAACTCAAGCACAAGGAGGAGTGTTGTTAGTATCCTAAGAGAGATCCAGAGTGCTGTGTGAGTTCAAAGGAGGGAAGAGCCCCTTTGGCTGAAGAAGTCAGGGAAGGCTCCATAGAAGCAGTAATGATACATACAGTGGCCTTTAAAAAACAAGTTGGATTATAAGAGCAGATGTGATGGGGGAAGAAAGGCCAGAGGGGAGGGCATGAATAAAACTGCGGGATGTCAGTGGTTAGAGCCAAGAAGAAAGCAAACAGGTTGTGTGGTAGAGATTGGGCATGGCTGGGGCCAGGGGCTCCTTTGAAAAGAGTGGTCAATGAACACACGTCTGGGGAGGAACACGGCACCCCCAATGACTGGCCACCAAACCTCCATCCTGGGGTTCAAAATAAGGACTGAGAATGGCCAAAGAATGGCCAGAACTGAGAAACCCTGGGCGTTCATTTCATGCCCACACACTTCAAGGTTCCATAATGATGAGATGTGGTTTGGGAGGGAGGTGAGATCAGGGAGGTAAAGGGCAGGGAAGGACAGAAGGGCTGCATTAGTCAGGATAAGGATCAGATGATAGGACCACAGCACAAAAGAATGAAAAGGTGGCAGGGAAGTGGGGGAGGGAAAGATGGGAAGCCAATAGACCTACGAGAGGCAACAGGTAAAGACAGGACCACTCAGTTGGAGGCACGGCCTCTGTCTTCCATATACCCTCAGTCACCTGCAGAGGGTGACATCAGGCCACTGGACTGGTGGACTAGAAATCAGAAAAACACTCACTACCTCTATGACCTTTGAGAACTCATTTCACTTCTCGGAGAATCAGATCCCTGTTTGTGAAATAGAGAACCATAGTACTCATCACCCCATTCTGTCCTGACCACCCAATCTAAAGTGGGGCCCCTTTCCTTCCTTCAATTTCATTTCCGGTAACATTTTCCATGTTATAGTCCCCATAGCACCATCAGCCTTTAAGTGGGGTGACCAATCATTTCCATTTTGCCTGGGACTAAGAGATTCCGGGGACAAAGGATTTTCTCTTTTAAAACCAGTTCCATGGGTGGGGGGCGGGGGAAAGACAATCCCTTTAGTAAACGGTGCTGAGAGAACTGGACAGCGACACGCAAAAGAATGAAACTGGACCACTTCTTACATCATACACAAAAATAAACTCAGAATGGATTAAGGATCTAAATGTGAGACATGAGACCATAAAACTCCTAGAAGAAAACATAGGCAGTAATTTCTTTGACGTCAACCACAGCAACATTTTTCTAGATATGTCTCCTCAGGCAAGGGAAACAAAAGCAAAAATAAATTATTGGGACTACACCAAAATCAAAAGCTTTTACACCATAAGAAAAAACCATCAACAAAACGAAAAGGCAACCTACTGATTGGGAGAAGGTGTTTGCAAAGGATATATCCTATTAGGGGTTATTATCCAAAATGTATAAAGAACTTGTATTAGTCAACACCAGAACAACAAATAACCTGATTAAAAAATGCACAGAGAACCTGAATAGACATTTTCCCAAAGAAGACATGGGGATGGCAAAGAGACATATGAAAGGTCCTCAACATCACTAATCATCACGGAAATGCAAATCAAAACCACAATGAGACATCACCTTACACATGTTAGAGTAGCTAAAATAAAAGAGGCCACAAATAACAAGTGTTCACAAGGATGTGGAGAAAAAGGAGCCCTCATGCACTGCTGGTACAGCCACTCTGGGAAAACAGTATGGAGCTTCCTCAAAAACTTAAAAATAGAAATACCATTTGATCCAGTAATTCCACCGCTGGATATATACTCAAAGAAGATGAAAACACTAGTTGGGAGAGATATATGCACCCCTATGTTTACTGCACATTACTTACAGTAGCCAAGAAGCAGCCCACGTGTCCTCTGACAGAGGAATAGATGAAGAATATTACTCAGCCATAGAAAAGAATTAGATCTTGCCATTTGCAACAATGTGGATGGACCTAGAGAGCATTATGCTAAGTGAAATAAGTCAGACAGAGAATGACAAACGCCATATGATTCCACTTACGTGTGGAATCTAAAAAACAAAAGGAATAAACAAGCAGTGAGCAGCAACAAGCCCATAGATACAGAGAACAAACTGATGATTGCCAGAGGGAAGGGGGGAAAATGGTGACGGGGAGTAGGAGATGCAGGCTTCCAGTTATGAGACGAATAAGTCACAGGAATACAAGGTATGACAAAGAGAATTACAGCAAATGGTATCACAACAGCGTTGTAGTGTGACACATGGTAGCTAACTTGTGGTGAGCACAGCACAAAGTATAACCTTGTTGAATCACTATGTTGTACAACCTAAAACGAATATAACACTGTGTCTAGTTCAACTCTACTTCAATATTTTTTATAAAGGAGAGTTCTAAACCAACTGGGGCAAGTGGGTCACGGTATTTCTAAGATTGTCTCCTTTGTTTACTTGTGTGCTCTCATCTTCCCAACCAAATGATCCATTCTCTGAGCATAGAGACTTCCCGTCTTCTTCGTGAGTGGGTCTGTAGCCCGGGTCAGGTGGGGATTGTAGAGAAGGGGAGGAAGTAGGGATCCTATTGTGCTCTGCGGTGTTTCAGCAATTGTGGGCAACACCCTTCTTTTATTGGCTTAGAGAACTGCCTCTGAGATCATTCCCCTTTTTATTACAAAATGGTAATTACCTATGTTATAGCAGCCCACACCTTGGTGAGAAGTCCAGGACTTTGTACACCTGTCAATGGAGAAAAGGCGGGGGAAGGGGG